GTGTACGAGACCGGCATCGAGTACATCGTCGCTAAAGGCCCCATAGACCAGGCCGTCAACATCCTGGTACCACCCGTTACACTACACCACTACTACTAATACTATTACTACTACTGCTACTACTACTACTACTACTACTACTACTACTGCTACTACTACTACTTACGTTTCAAGACGTACTAACGGTCCTGTCACACCTTGACGTTTTAGCCAGTCTATGTCGACATACCAGAATTTCCCTAAAACTCTGTCATACGCTGAACCCTGAAGTCTGGAGGAGAACTCACGTTTTCCCCATTTTTAAACCGATTTCCGCACACGCTGCCAATACGCCATTATACAGGAGCTGTACGTTAGAAACATGTTCAGTTCTGTGGTCGTGGGAACATGTTAAATACGTCTGTGTACGTCAATATGCATTAGAGGTAAGTTTGATATAAGTTACACATAGATTCAGAGTTACTCTTAAATTATGAGGAAGCTCAACATCATCTCAACATATTTGAACTCATGAGTAACTTAGAATTAACGTGTGAATGTGTGTCAACGATCACACAACTTACCTACAACTTATGGCCCACGTGTGCAGGACGTATAAGCACACGCGGACATACGTCCAGACAGTTTGAGCATGTAACCTTGCCGTATGTCGGTGTAAGCCAGCGTGCTTCATACACTGGATAAATCGTCAAGGTGTGACAGCCCCTTAAGGCACAGTCAGTTTCTCAGAACTCTGTGGAAAATATCTGAATGATCTGAATGATCGTCTGGACAGAGCTCTGGTCTGTGGCCTTTGCTTCAGGTCTGCTTCAGGTCTGCTTCAGGTCTTTGTTCCTGATGCCCTCTCTCTCTCTCTCTCTCTCTCTCTCTCTCTCTCTCTCTCTCTCTCTCTCTCTCTCTCTCTCTCTCTCTCTCTCTGTGTGTGTGTAGGTGTGGAATCAGAACGGGCGCACTCCGTACATCACGTACGAGTACACGGTGCTGAGAGACGCTCTGCCCCCGGTGCCTCCGCCGCCGCTCTACACCGGGGCAGACGGCGGCGACGCGTCGATGGAGGAGGGCGCTCTACTCAACGCCACACACCAGGGGGCGCTGCAGCCGACCGGAGCACAGGAGCCCGCGGAGACCAACGAGGTGTACGAGGAGACGGAGGAAGTGGACTGTGACCAGGACACATACACAGGTTCACAGTTTGTGTTTTTTTTACTTTATTTTTGTATGTGTTTGAAAATTGTATTAAATTTATAGAACAAAACAAAAGTGCAGACCACAACAAAACCAAATAAAATTAAATTAAATTCAGAGCAACTAGACTAGACCAGTGGTGCTCAATACGTCGATCGCGATCTACCAGTCGATCTCCAAGGTCGTGTGGGTAGATCGCCGTGTCTCGTCTCGGACTCGTGTTTGGACTCGGTCTTGTCTCTCACTCGAGGTCTGACACTCAACAAGTGTGATCATATTTCATTCCGGCCGCTGCTGTTGGTAATAAACTTTGTAGCGGGTGCAGGAGCGTGTGGGGCGTCTCAGTGCAGCCTGTGCGCTCATTTGAAACCCGCGGAGACTCTACGGCGCATCACAAACACACACGCTCCCTATGCACGGCTCGTCTGCGACAGCGTGTGCCCTCGTGTACCAGCGTGCATCACAGGGCAGGTTCAACTTCCTAAACATCCTACCTGTCCATCTGCCTCACGTCAGCACGCCGCCCCTCGCCTTTTCACGCTCTCGCTCCTTCCTGCGTACAGCCAACACAAGCCCCTCCCACAGTGCGGCTGATTAGAAGAACAAGACCAAACGTGAAGCAAAAACCAGTCTAAATTTGTGTTCCAGTGTTGGCACAAAGCAGGTCTACAGCATAGAGCGGATCTACAGAACAGACCTACTGCCACATTTGGCTGAAGTTTGTCTAACAAAAGTGACAAATGCATCTGTGTTTGTCACGATGTGCGTTTGGTTTGGTAAACGTGCAGAGGCTGGTAAATATCACTGCAAAACCACAAAAGAATGAAACTCCAGTTTGGAACTTTAAAAAACAGGTTTAAAAATCTTCCTTCACTTTTTTCACAGTTTTGTGTAAAGTGTCAGAGGAAGTTCTCTTAAAGAAGAGGTTCTCAAACTGTGGGGGAGGGTCCAAAAAAGGGGCACAGAGTGTTTCAGTGCAGTTTGTTTGACTTTGTATCAGGTTGATCATTTTGACTTGGTCATTTTGTAAGAAGCTCACATGATGAAAAAGTGTGAACACCTCTGGTCTAGAGTCACCAATAATTATCTATCTTGACAGTGTTAACATATCAAAGCCAAATAATCGGCCCATTTCCTCCAATACCTGTTACATTTAGCAGTAGAAAGTCTCAATGAAAATGTCAGTCTCTCCATGTCATAAATTTCATTGACGACTTTGATCCAGTCAGTGAGTCCAGGTGCATCTTTACACAACCATTTCCTGGTAACGGCTTTGTTTGCTTCAGCCAACAGTATTGACAAAAGATATTTGTCTGATTTCTGTAATCCACATATAATATTACAAAAAAAGACTTCAGTAAATCCCAGTGATATAGGCGAGTTTCAGCTGATGTCATTGTTATTAAAAGTCCGCGTTGCTGCTGGGAAATATTTTGGTTGGAGGCAAGAAACACGGTAGCGTCAAACACAGTGTGTAACCTCGTGTATTTCTCCCTGATAATGGTCAATTCCTGCTGCATTATCAGATGCACAAATAGAAGCACGGAAGAAGGAAAATGTCTTTTTCCTATTCCGATTGACAACAACCTCTAACGGTGAATTAAACGACTTTCAAACATCCGCAGAGCAAACGTAGAAGATCCTAACAAACCGTGGACTCCAACAAGTTCAACAACACATCCAGACTCTTGGAGGTTTTCATCTTTTCTGCTGTGAATGGCCCAGGAGTTTCCACCAAGTCATTGTGGATGTCGCCCAAGTGAATATTTGTCCAGGGAGTTGGAGATTCTGACCAGAAGTTTGGTTTGGTCCAGACTCTGTCGGGGTTGAAAAGGGAGATTTGTCGTCCGTCGATGCTTATGACCAATTTCTGGTCAAATGGTCTTGGGTCGTCTGCCGTTAGAGTGGAGAAATAACCAGGATCAATACCCTTTACGTGTTTTCTCGCTCCGTCCGTCATGTTGAATTAGTGTTTCTTGCCGCCGACCAAAATAATTCCCAGCATGAAACGCACGCTTTTGTCAACAATGAAACTTGCCTGTTGGCAGGTCTAATCTGAATATACTTTGAATAGATTTTATCACCGTCATCCAGTAGGATGTGATCTTAACACAATCCCAAAATATGTGAAATTCCCTGATCTGACATCACCACAGTCTCTCCAACACCGAGCCTCTGGGTCATTACTCCGCTTACTCTTAATAAAAGGTGTAAGAAAAAAAACGTACAGTAGTTTTCCATGTGAATTCTCTCCAAAGACCCGAGCTGGAGGTGGTCATTGCAGTTCTGCAGATATTGTACCAGTCATCCTCAGATATTGTAATATTAGAGTCTTCTTCCCTTGCTTCTTTAATATATATACTAGAAATGTTCTTTGATGCTTGTAGACATTTGTAAGCAATGGTTTGTGTTTCTTAGGAGCGTTACCTTTGCATGCTTCTAGAAAATAATTTACCAGATCCCCTCTTCTGCAGGAAATTTAATTTCACAGTTTGTGTGTGACATTTCCTAAGGTGAAGGGTTCGCTACCTGCTTGTTTCCATGGTGATATTATTTCCACAGTATGGTATTAAACATATTTGTCTTACATTTATTCAGTTATAGGTGTTTTACAGCTCAAAAATATCTTCTAAAACAGACATGGGCCTTGTCCAGCTCCAAGGCCACATACGGTCCTTTGGTCGACTCTGACCGGCCCCTTTTACTCTTTCCCTCATGAAGACGACATTTGACGACCCCCTTGTTTCCTTAATGACGTCTTTTGACTCCTCCGCTGTTTCACTAAACATGACGAACATTAGAAACGGCTCGGTTTTTCACATTTAATCAGAGACTGTTGTAGGTCAGGGCCACTACAACCCACACTAGACTGACCAATAGGATTCAAGGATATGTTTTCGTTGATGAAGTTAATCAAAGTAGTGACGATGGAGCTTCCAGAAAAAACACAACATGAAAACATATGCAATGGATCGCGGCGCTGCGGCGCACAGTTTTAGAAATAATGAGGAGTGGACGTATTTTATGGATAAGTTTAGAGAAAGTGACTTTTATAGATTTCAATGTGATGATGAAGTTGATTATAAAGTGGAAAACAGCGACGGACTTTCAGAGAGTGAAACTTATGAAGATGAGAATGTCGCTGATGCGTCTGTGTGGAGTCCTGCGATGTCCAAACAAACTATCCAGGCTTTATACTCGATTATGAACCAAAACTGCCCTGAAATCTTGATGTTGCCCAGGAGAGTCTTTTAAAGTATTTCAGTCTTTTTTTCTAAGATGCAACGTATGACAGAACTGCTACAGAAACAAACACTTATGTGGAGCTCTGCGCACGAGAACATGAGACAAATACTGGACTCCCACTGACGGGGAAGAGTTTTATTATTATATTATTATATTATAATAAGTTAAATGAGTTGAATAAGTTAAATGGAAAAAATGAATTAGGTGCACACAGGTGAACAACAGGTAAAAACAGGTGCACACTTGGCTTTACTGTATCTGCTGATATGAAATCTGTTTAAATACTTTGACAAAGTATATTTTTAATGTTTTTTATGAATATATTACTCAGAACCTGCAGATATCAGATGCTGAATGTAGTTTTTTTGTTTTGGATTTTGCACCTGACCAGGTAAACTCTCATTTTCAGTGAGCTGTTATAAACCTGGAAATGAGTTGAATCACATTTAAACATCCAGAAATGAAGAGTTCAGAGTCTAAAGTTTCCAGAGATACAAATATGTCTGTGTTACAATTAAGTTCATGAGTGTAAAAATCATTTATAATCACTTGTGGAAGTCTGTTTTCTTTTATGCACTGATGCTCTAAGGGCAGTTCTAGTCATATATGTGTGGGTTGGTCCTCGTCGGCGTCCAGGAGGGAAAGAGTTAAGATCATTTGGAATTACAAAATAAACATACACTCAAAGGTTTTACAACACCACATTTTTTCCAGTTTTTTACTGTTTACTGTTTGACCAAAACGTATTCTAAACTTTAGACTGACGTGTGTGTCCACCTTTGGCAGATCTAACAGCTGAACACACTTGTGGCTCGTTCTTTTTACAATAGAAATCAAATCTTCTTCAGAAAGTTCTTCCCGAGTCTGTCGCAGAAGTTTCCATAAATGTGTGGCACTCGTCGGTTGCTTCACTCCTCAGTCCAGTTCGTCCCAAACCAGCTCCATGGGGTTTAAGTCTGGACACTGTGCTGCTGCTGCTGGACACTCCACGTTTTCAAACTCAACATCTTTTTCTTTTTCCCTGAGGTGGTTTTGGCAGAGCTTGGACTTGTGTTTTGTTCTTTTATCTTTTTTTAACCTCTGTCTGTTCTGTTCTTTCCTTTGGACCATTTCAAACTCTTGAATTACAATAAATAACTGGAAAAATTAGGGTGTTTTAAAACATTTGACCGGTAGTGTATTTTATCGTTTGACCTGCTGCCTGGACTAAAGCTGCATTGATTTTATTTTAGACGTGTTTTTTAAATGACATTTTTTGTTGAGCAGCTTCACTTTTTCATTGCTTCGTCAGAACATAAACTCTTCACAGTCTGAGCAGCTCGTCACAACAAAGAGATTTTCTGCTTTTTATAAAGAAATACAATTAATATTATGTAGAATTGAATTCAGCATTTTGTCCTCTACAATATTTTCTGTTTCTCATGTGGCCCTAGAAAAAAAAAAGAACTGTCCCTCCGGTTTATAACATGAGTTGTTACTATGTGCAGGCTCGCTTCTCCATAGATCTGATCATTCCCTTGTCTCCTTTGTGATTACCACGTTTATTTCCAGATTGTGAAATAATGAAAGCAAAGCAATATCATCTCCAAGGAGACAAGCAGGTGACGGATCCTGCAGCAGAAAAGTTACACAATGCTCCTTTAATATTATATAAGTGTAAAGAAAACAACTGGGAGCAAGAAGACGACAGCGGTTTGTGACTCAGACTTTCACTGTGGGAAGAGAGTTTGAGCTGAAGAGATCTGAGTCTCGTGAAGGGACGTGGACGAGGTTTGGACACAGTTCTGCACACGAGTCTGTGTTAGTTTGTAGGATAACTGGAGGTGCAGCTAGAGGGCGCTGCTGCGTCACATGTGAAGAGCTCTGAGATTCTCTGCCTCTGTGGGTCAACGCTGCCTCCACACAAAAGATCCACAGAAAACAAACAGAAGTCACACGTTTAACAGTGATGGAGCGGATCATCATTTCCCTCGATTTACTCCACAGGCAGAAGAGTGTTTGAAACACAGAGATGTTTAGAGTTCAACCCAAACCTCCGATTCAAAAGCTCAACAGGATCAGAGTCTGTGGATCAGAGTCTGTGGATCAGAGAGTGTGGATCAGAGTCTGTGGATCAGAGTCTGTGGATCAGAGTCTGTGGATGAGAGTCTGTGGATCAGAGTCTGTGGATCAGAGAGTCTGTGGATCAGAGAGTCTGTGGATCAGAGTCTGTGGATCAGAGTCTGTGGATCAGAGAGTCTGTGGATCAGAGTCTGTGGATCAGAGAGTCTGTGGATCAGAGAGTCTGTGGATCAGAGAGTCTGTGGATCAGAGTCTGTGGATCAGAGTCTGTGGATCAGAGTCTGTGGATCAGAGAGTCTGTGGATCAGAGTCTGTGGATCAGAGTCTGTGGATCAGAGAGTCTGTGGAATCAGAGTCTGTGGATCAGAGTCTGTGGATCAGAGAGTCTGTGGATCAGAGTCTGTGAATCAGAGTCTGTGGATCAGAGTCTGTGGATCAGAGAGTCTGTGGATCAGAGTCTGTGGATCAGAGTCTGTGGATCAGAGTCTGTGGATCAGAGAGTCTGTGGATCAGAGTCTGTGGATCAGAGTCTGTGGATCAGAGAGTCTGTGGATCAGAGTCTGTGGATCAGAGAGTCTGTGGATCAGAGAGTCTGTGGATCAGAGTCTGTGGATCAGAGTCTGTGGATCAGAGTCTGTGGATCAGAGAGTCTGTGGATCAGAGAGTCTGTGGATCAGAGTCTGTGGATCAGAGTCTGTGGATCAGAGAGTCTGTGGATCAGAGAGTCTGTGGATCAGAGTCTGTGGATCAGAGAGTCTGTGGATCAGAGTCTGTGGATCAGAGAGTCTGTGGATCAGAGTCTGTGGATCAGAGTCTGTGGATCAGAGTCTGTGGATCAGAGAGTCTGTGGATCAGAGAGTCTGTGGATCAGAGTCTGTGGATCAGAGAGTCTGTGGATCAGAGTCTGTGGATCAGAGTCTGTGGATCAGAGTCTGTGGATCAGAGTCTGTGGATCAGAGTCTGTGGATCAGAGTCTGTGGTGTGGCCGATGAGAGCTGCATGTTTCATGAGCAGGTTTATAAAGAGCAAAGTGACATAAAAAATTCAGCCTCTGTTTTTACTCGACCAGCTCAGGCTAATGGCCTCTGTGCTCTCCTCCTCCTCCTCTCCAACTACCATTCTACTCTTCTTTTCCTCCTCTCCTCTCTCCTCCCTCTTCCTCTCTGACTCTTCACCTCTCTCTGCTGAGACACGAGGTGACACAGACGAGAGGAGAGCTCACAGACTCACGTCCTTCCCTTAAATCCAGCAAAAGCACAGACACGATCACGGACATGGACACAGACACGGACACAGACCCTCCTGAATGACAGAGAGTCTCCCTGTGCTCGTTTGGCACAGACTGAACACACTGGCTCTGGCTCTGTGTCTGAACCTGGGCGGGTCTCATGAACGTCCTCGTCTTACTGTCAGGTTATTTCACCGCCGTCACTCATCCACACACATTCATACTGAGCAGTGTGGCAGAAGTGTCTTGCCTAAGGACACAACCAGAGTCCAGAGGTACTGCAGCCCCTGATGGTCTCAGCTTCTCCCATCCAAAACCAGGACCAGCCCTGTCTGCCTCCTTTGAAATAATAATAATAATAATAATAATAATAATAATAAAACAGTAGTAAAAAGTAGTTAAAGTATTTAAAAAAGTAGTAGTAGTAGTAGTAGTAATACATGACACTTGTAAAGCTCTTTTCACGCTTTACATGAAGAGACAAACGAAGGCAAAGCAATAAGAAAGTGAATGAAAGGTGATTTTAAAGAGCTGAGTTTCGGGTGGGAGGAGCGTCGTGCCACCTTCACCTCGAGCCTTTCTCAGGTGACCCATCACCTCAGAGGAAGTGCGTGAATCCTCCGGGGCAGACTGACCCCACCCGTTTACCTCTGAACAGTTTCACATCCTCTTGAACTCTCTTCAATGTTCTTTTCTTCTTTCCCTCCCGTTTTTTGTCGACCATCAATCTTGTGCCATGTTTAGCCTCAGATGGAGTTTACCACCAAAAAATACCAAAGTAACGAGGAACGTAAAAAGTGACTTTACACAGAGGGTAACTAAGTAAAGTAAGGGATTACTTTTTAAAGAAGTAATGAGCAAATATGACTTTTTTAAAGTCACTTCCCTAACACTGACTGGAGTCTGTGGAGTTTGGAGGGTGAACCGAGGATAAGAATGAGGTTTCCAGCAAACTGAGGGGAGAGGGACAGATGGAGGTGAGCGATGTTCCGGAGCTGATAGAAGGCGGCTTTAGTGATGTGTTTGGAGAGCGTCTGGTCAAAGAAGATGACGAAGTTACAGACGTGGGAGGAGGAGGAGGAGACCGAGGAGCTGTCGATGGAGAGGGTGGAGTTATTGTGTTTTAGGGTCAATGATGATTATTTCAGTTTTGTCACAGTTGAGTTGGAGGAGGTTTGACTTTATTTCAGAGATGCAGTTTGTGGATTTGGAGGGGGCTGAGAACTGAACCTTGGGGGACTCCTTGAGTGAGTGGGGCAGAGGGGGACTTGCAGTGGTGAATATGGAGGAAATGGTGTGTTTCTGTGAGGTAAGAGGTAAAGGAGAGGGCGGTGTTGGTGATGTTAAAGGTGGTCTGCAGGCGGGAGAGGAGGATGGAGTGAGGAGGATGGAGTGGGAGATGGTGTCAGAGTCGGAGGAGAGCAGGAGGTCTGTGGTGTTGTGGTGGGAGCAGAAACAAACAGGTTGTTGGTTGTGTGGTAGATTTCAGGTGGCGACGGGACTATCAGTGAATTTAAAATGTTAAACGTTAAATCTTCTGTCTCCTCTTTGACTGAAGGAAACAGCAGTCATCCAGGCGGCACTGCCGAGCCCCCATTGGCTGCAGGACCTTTGGAGGTGGGGCCTAACTCAAACCCAAACCTGCTCTGGAGAGTTCTACTGGACGGCCGTTTACTGGTGAACATGTCGACCAATCAGCTGCTGTCAGAAGGCGGGTTCTTCTCCGACCTGGAGCCAATGAGCAGCGCCGAACAAAACGAGACGCTGGAGTTCAGTCTGAGCCGAAAGAACGAGAGCTCAGAGAGCGTCCACAACAAGACGGTCGCCCGCGGCAACGGACGCCAGAACCGCACCAGGTACACAACAACACACAGGTACACACAGGTACAGTACACACAGGTACACTACACACAGGTACAGTACACACAGGTACACACAGGTACAGTACACACAGGTACACACAGGTACAGTACACACAGGTACACACAGGTACACTACACACAGGTACACTACACACAGGTACACTACACACAGGTACAGTACACACAGGTACACACAGGTACAGTACACACAGGTACAGTACACACAGGTACAGTACACACAGGTACACACAGGTGTATCTCCAGGTCACAGTTACACCAGGTGGACCTGGGCCTTTTTCCTCTGGGCAGCTCTTTTACAAAACCCCAGAACTGTTCATTTTATCGCTCAGAGTAACTGGAGCAAACTCAGAGGCCTCAGATGGAGCAGGTAGACGCTGAAACATGAACCTCACATCAGTGCAGAGTCACAGACACACACTTAAGCCGGGTGTACACTGTGTGATTTTTGACGCTTTTTGAGACAATTTTTCACTCGTGCGACTGTTTTGGGGATCGGGTTGAGTTTTGGCTTCATCGTGTGTCGTTCTTCGTGTAGTAAACATGGGGTAAAGAAAAACGATTAATCCCTCATGACCAGCTCCCGATCGGCATTCGTAGGTCGCAAGAAAATCAAACTTATTTGAAATCTAGTCGCCTTTCGTGAGGGTTTCTCTCTGTTGAAGTCGTTCCACAAGCCAATTTGCCAGAATCTGTCAGACTGAGCATGTGCGGACACAGAAGCGGAAACAGGATATGAGGTTGTGGAGGACGATGGCGCTGGAGAGTGTCTTGGACACAGGACATGGAGGCGCAGCTGATCCAGCAACACAGAACAGAAGTTTGGTGAAAAACTTGATGCTACTTACCTCGAGTTCCCTCTGAAGAACTGACAACCCGCACTGCCCACGTCCGCCCACGTCTGCCCACGTCTGCCCACGTCTGCCTGCCCACGTTGCCCACGTCCGCCCACGTCCGCCCACGTCCGCCCACGCCTGCCCACACGTCCGCCCACGTGTGCCCACATCTGCCCACGTCTGCCCACGTCTGCCCATGTCTGCCCAGACATTTCTTTGACCATATTTGTCGCCTCTTCTTTTTGTTCTTGTCTGTGCAGAGAATGGCACAAATTGCCAAGGCAGCGTGTCTGTTTTTTGCCTGAATCATTGTGTCTCTGCACGTCTGTGGTTTTCTAATTCCGTGGTTTTCTTCTTCGTGGTTTTCTACTTCCGGAAAAACAACTCCGGTCATTATGTGAACGTACAGTGTGCGCAGGCAGGTCGCATCTGAGAATTTGTTCTTACAGTGTGAGAACATGATTCGTGAGCTGTGAACTTTTAAACCCTGCAATTTGGTCGTACAGTTTAAGCTGGGGCTGAGTGACACGACCTAAAATATCGCACAGTGTACGTCCGGCATTACTGTGTTATTTCATCTAATGTGAGTTATTGAGCCCAGCACATTTCAGACATAGAGCGGCTTGGAGCAGAGGTGTAGAGGGGCAGAGGGGCAGAGGTGGGAGACCCCTGAGGTGGACGATGAGGCAGTGGCAGAGTGGTTAGCGGTTGATTTCCAGACGGTGTGACCCTGAGGGAGTCTGAGATAACACAGTCCATTTACAGAGAAAAGCAGAAGAGCTGTGGACAAACATTCTGATCATTCTCCACGTGTTTGTTTAGAGTCACTCCTCTCACTCACATTCTGTACTCCCCAACGTCTGTCCGTCTGTCTCTCTCTGTCTCTCCTCTCTGTTTCTCTCTCCCTCCTCTCTCTCTTCTCTCTACTCCGTCGCTCTCTCTGTTCCTCACGGTTCTCTTCTGCTCTTGTGCTCTTCTGCTCTCCTCGTCAGTGCGCTGTGGCCTCACATGAATGACAGATCTGAGTGAGTTTTATGTTGTGTCTGTCTGGAGCATCAGTCTGAAGTGTTTGACTGTGTTTATCGACGGTCTGCCGTGTTTCCACATCGTTCTGATCTCTTAAACTCACCACAGCTCAGAGCCAGCGGCGCATTTAGGGCTGCGAGGTTCATCTCAATCACACTTTTAATGGACACAACAAGTACCACACGTTTCTCTACAAACAGCTAAATCTCCCGACTTATTCTGCATAAAAGCTCTTAACCCTGTAACTGTAGTTATTGTCAGTTCAGATTTGAGTCGATTGTCTGAAATGCGCTGGTGTGTATTTCCAGTGCTTTGGATTTTTGTCTTTGGGAAAATTTAACAAACACATTTCTGCTCCACATTTACCCAAAAGACAGAGCTGTTGTCCCTTTCAAAGAACCGCCCCCATGTCCACCTGCATGTAAAAATCTTTGAAACATGGTTCATTTGGAGCATGTTCCTGTTCTGTGCTGGTTCTGTGTCAGGGGGAACCAGAGGCTGAACCAGAAGAACCTGAAGCTGAGTGTGGCCGACATGTACCGCTGGAAACTCTCCTCCCAGGAGCCCTGCAGCATCACCTGCTCCATCGGTGACCCACACAACACCACTGCCACTCTCACACCTGTACATCACACTCACGTTTCACCTGAACTCACACCTGTCTGCTCCTGTCTGCTCCTGTCCGCTCCTGTCTGTGGCAGGGGTGTCCCGGTCCTTTGTGTCCTGTGTGCGTTACGACGGAGTGGAGGTCCACGACATGTACTGCGACGCCGTGACTCGCCCGGAGCCAGTGCACGACTTCTGCATCGGGAGAGAGTGTCAGCCGCGGTACGACACACAGTCCTCTGCACACAGTCCTCTGCACACACGTCCCCCTGCACACACGGCCCTCTGCACACACGGCCCTCTGCACACATGGCCCTCTGCACACAGTCCTCTGCACACACGGCCCTCTGCACACAGTCCTCTGCACACACGGCCCTCTGCACACACGACCCTCTGCACACACGACCCTCTGCACATGGCCCCATGTATTCA